TATTTTTATTTTTTATTTGCGTGGTTATAGAAAAGAGACTGCACCATTTATAAGGTGTTATAAATTCTGCATGATTATTTTTTTTATATTTATTTTTTTAAAAAAAAAAATTAGCGCTGGATTATGAGATAGTATATCATTAACGTTAAAAATACTCAATGTCAGAATTAAATTTCGTCTCTAATTTTCATTCTCAAACCTTAATAAAATTCTTTATCGGTAATTTACTATTTATGATTTTTGCTAGTACAATTAGTTACAAGTTACTGATAACATTATTTAATATAGTTTAATAACTATATTAATTTATTTATTGAAAGTGCAATTTTATAATATTACTATTTGATGATATTTGCTAGTACAATTAGTAACTAATCATTTATTTTGTTATTAAGTCAAATTGTCAATTACTATTAGATAACATTATTCAATATAGTTTAATAACTAATTATTAATTTATTTATTGAAAGTGCAATTTTTATAATATTTCTTAAACTATCGTCACTTTCTTGTATTTGTGATCTTTTCTTTTTTTCATGATAGTATTGTATGATCTTCATCAGGTAAGACAATTGTGTTTTGAGGAATTCTACCTTTCGCAAGTGCTGATAGAGGGTAATTGATTACCTTTGGATGAAATATTTTGTGTCATTTATATTATCAAAGAAAAAAACTTTTTTGGGAAAAACAAGACGCGTAAAAGAAAAAAAGAAATATCATTTGTTCTTATGAAAAAATGGTTTAATAAAAGCTAAAAAAAAAAAGTCTAAATTAAACTATTTTGTGTAAACCGATAAAACACTCGGCACGAAGTGCCGAGTAACTATTACTTATCGGTCCTCTTGACTGAGCTCAAAATTAGCTTAGGAATTAAATTAAAAATTTCAGATTTCCCCTTTTTTACTGACTCCCTCCCAAGTGCTTTTTTTTTTTTTTTTGATTTTTATTGATCATTTAACTAATCAAGATACACTTACGTTTGGTTTATTTAACTTTAACGTTGTTTATGGAGCTATCGAAGAAAATTCTATTACTAAAGATCTGTGTCGAAAGGAAAGGTTCATTGTTAGAGTTAAATGAACGGATAGGGTAATTGATTCAAAATTAAATAAAAAATTCAATGGGATGTTTCACAAGAATCTTATGAATGTCTTCCATAATTTAAATTTTTAAACAAGGTCAAATTAAACAAGCAATAAATACGAAAAAAAAAAACGAATCTTTTTCAAATATTTAATAAAGTTCTGAAAATAAAAAACGTATTAATTTTACTCAAATTAGACAGAGAGTTCTTTGTAAAAATACTGATCCTTAAATAAACGCGCGTTGTTAATAATTTTACCCACGTGACCAATTTGTCGAGTAACTGATTGGTTTGGTAGTGCAATTTGAATACATCTCGCGCTAAAAACGTATCTTAACTTTAACAGTGTAAATCGTTCGTGAGGTAATTACAAAATAAGATGTGAATTTCGATCCAATTAGTAGTCAGTTTTTGCCAAAACCTAATTTTCCTAGCAACTTTCCCATATAGAGTATATAATATTTTTTTTAAAAAAAAAAAAAATTAGAAAATCAATGGCCAAATGAAAAAGTATTGGTTAGTAATGAAATTGCTGATGGCGATGCGCGTCCAAGTAAACATGCAGAGCAGACAATAATATACTATTCACGATAAGAAATTTAAATTTCGTAAATAGTGTAAATAGTTGTGCAAACCTTATTATTTACTAGTATTGTTGATTTCCGATACTAGAAAAATATGAACGTGCAGGTTCGTGGTTTCTTGCATCATTTTCTTGTACCTCTTTCGGTATGAAATACTGTTCAGAAATTGTAGCACCGAATAGTAAGATTCTTTGTTCATTATATTTTATTTTCTTGAAAAAATTATGATATTCTTGCAAGAAGTGTAAAATCAAAATAATATGAAGTTAAATATATATAACTCGAAATTTTTTGGTGGCTTTTCGGTATCGGGCGCAGCTACGAATCGGATAATTATTTTTTTACATATTTAATACTTACCCGATTCGCCTAAATCAGTTTAATTTATAAATACTTACAGCTGTTTTCATATTTTTCGGGACAAACCTGACATCCGATCCGATATGCGGATATCACGTGTTTCTGGATTTTGTACTAAAAATAAACAAACTAAATAAACTATAACCGATAAACAAATACCGGACACTATTCGCGTATTACAATCTGTAAACAAAATGTTTATAATCACATGATCTGATACCCGCTTATCGGATCGAGTGTCGGGTTCAAAATTTGTTTTGTCCCGAAAAATATGAAAACAGCTGTAAATAAAACTACTTTTTCAATTTTTAGGCCGTATTTTTAAGTATCGGGGCTGCGCCCCAAATTGAATAAAAAGGGTTCCTTCGAATAATCAAGTTGACGCCACGCGTTCGGACAACGGAGAAATTCACGTGATTATCGTTTTTCGCTCCGGAAAATAAATTTTATGGCGAATCGTGTCAAATTTACTTATTTATTTGTTATTAATTTTGATTATTTGAAATAAAATACATATACTTTTTTTTATATACTTATAATACATAATTATGAAAAAAGAAAACCTTAATATAATATAACTATTTATAACCTTAATCTAAAATCTCGAGAATTTTTTTTTTTTTTTTATTATCCTATAAACCGAATACTATAAATTATAATAAATCACTTTATTATAGCAGATGATAATAAATCGAAGATTTTCGAATCAATCAAAAGTTAAATACCTTAATTACGGATTAAAGAATGCACATTCTATATTATTTTCTGACCTTTTTAATTTTTTATCTCTCTTACAAATAGAACAGGTTTTACAGTTGCAATTAATATATTTAATTGAAATTTTTTTGGAGTCCTGTTTTAAAAAAGCTGGACCGCTTGATTTCTTTGTAGAATATAAGCTAATAAATCTCATATCAGGTTTGTTGTTATGATTAATATATGGCTTTTTAAAAAGTGAATGTTCAAAAGGGATTGTGCCAAAAGCGTTAGGTTTAGAATAATTTGAAATGATAAGTGTATAAAAAGTAAAGTTGGGTAAATTTACATAACGTTTGTTTTTCAAACAATAAGAAAATGTACATAAGCCAATTTCTTTTTTCGTTTGATTATTAAAAAAATGATGACCTATAATTAAAGATTCATTAGAAGAATCTAATTTATTTAATACAGGGATTCCTAAGCAAGGAGGATTATTATTTGAATCGTAAGAAAATTCTGTATCAAACATCATAGTTTGATTATTTGACGCACTAAAATCTTTTTCAATTATTTTCAATTGAACATCAAAATCAGTAAGGAAATTTAGATCCGTATTATAACCAATGACCATCCATCCAATTTTCAATTTACATAGTCGCTTTCTGAAATTTTTCTGAATACAATGTATTGTAATGCTTGGTTTTCCATTTGGTGGGTAAAGGATTTGACAATGAAAGAATTCATTTTTGGATTTCTCAACGTCAGCAACTGTTGCAAAAATGTTACAATCGGCTTCTTTGTCTCGAAGAATCTTTGAGATATTTGTCGGTATATTTAATTCAAAAACCACAGGTCTTCCGAATTCCTTTAAACTATAATTAAAATTTTCAATCTTTGAGTAATGAATTCTTTTTCCAAGAGAATAAGTGATTTTTCTACGTAAATAGTCAGGTAAGAGTTGAAAGATACTGATGGGGTTTCGGAATTCTATGCAAGCCCAATTTTTGTAATCTGTTAAAGATTTAACCCAAGATTTTTCGTCAAATTCTTCAAGTCTATCAGGTTGCTGCCCTCCAATTAAACTTATAATGTTTATACAATAACCACTGGAATCGTTTGATGTTTCACTTAACCTTGCGCATCTAGTATTGTTTTCTTCAAAATATGCTCTCCCGCCTAAAGTAACTTCAGTCGGAATGAATTGACCAAATTCCTCGGTAATTTTCTTAAATTTCGCTGGGTCTCCAGATTTGCTGGCATCTTCCATCGCGTTGATAAAATCCTTAGTTGGTTCTAAATACTCTCTGAATTTTAGTGACACCTTTCCATACTCTGCATATGTTTCAGATTCAATATTACTATTTCGTAACTTTTCATCAGTAATTCCCAGATTTATAAAACTCTCTACATTAGTATCGTTCATAAAGAATAAATTCTTCATCATCATTCGATCTTTACTTGAATTAAATTCAATTTTTCCTTTTCGACATCCCTCGGCACCAATTTCGGTCATTTTACAATCTTTCATTATAAATGCTTTTCGATAGCCTTTCTTAATTCCATCAAAAGTCATGGTACATCCATAATCTAAATGATGGGTTTCGTTGAGAAATTCCCAGTCTTGATTCGAATTTTTCATTAAATATAGAGTCTTATTATTTCCTTCTATAACATCATTTAGAAGAGAATTTTCTTCATTTTCAAGTGGTATTTCAGAATATTCTGATTCAGCAATTTTCTTTGAAAAGAACATTGTATCGTTAATGATACCTTTTTCTTTGAGTTCTTTACGAATAATGGATAAATTATCCGTTAGATTTAAACCTAGTTTGAAATGCTTCGTAGGAGTTTCGTTTATGATTTGAACTATTATTTCAACATTGTTTTTAAAGATATTTGTAAGATCAAACATTTTGTGATATTTTTTTTTTTTACGCGGGATACTTACTCTTATCTTGTTTATCTTTTTCTTTTATCTTTTTTTTCTAACTTTAATTTAAAGTTTGTGAAACCCCGTAGACAATGAGAGGGGGTTTTCTATAAGGCCCAATTTGGTATATGATTAGTTTGACAAAGAACTTCTATAAATATACTTAATTTCCTTTGTATTTTTTTTTTTTTTTTTTTCATTCTAGTACTAATTAGGCTTTACGAAAATGCAATGCAAAAAATTATCTAAAAAAAAAATTATTTTTTTTTTTTTTTTTTTCGAAAGCTCAATTCTTTTTTTTTTTTTTTTTTTTTTTATATAATTTTCTTAAACTTAAAATAAAATGACCACAAATTTAGAAACAAACTACCCACCTTTAGATTATTATTTAAACCCTAATAAAAGCATAACATTTTCATATGAAAAAGATAATGATTCCTTTCAACAAGGAATACTTTGTGAAGACGCGAAAAGTTACTTAATCGGCTATTTACATCTTAATTATCAAAAATGTAAAAAAATCAAACGGGTTAGCTTGCATTTAAAAGGACTAGAAAAAACTTTATGGATTAAGGCAGAATCAATAAAACCCTGTGGAGGAGAGCGTGTACTTGTTGATACGACTCATGTAATTTTTCAACCAGGAACGGACGTTTTAATTGATCAATTAAAGGTTCAATTTAAAATAAATTTACCCGATAATCTTCCAGGAACAATCGAGACAAGGTTTGGATCCGTAAGTTATAATTTACGCGCTATCGTAACCAGGAAGAGCGGATTATTTCATTCTAAAGATGATGTAGTTGAAATCAAGTGCCCACTTAAAACTACCATAACTTTGAATTATACAAATGTTTCTCCTCATAAAATCGAAGGTACACAAAATGGTTTGGTTTATGTATTCGATTTACCACCAAAAAAATATTTTCAACTTGGAACTTCTGTTTCGATACCAATGAATATTTATTTATTAGAATCAAACGTTATGATCAGGAAAGTTGAAATTTCCTTGAAAAGTTGCATGAATTTTTATTGTGACCAATCGAATGAAGATTTTGATAAGGAAGAACAAGTTATCTCGCATATTTTACAAGGGAAGAATTTAAAACCAATTTCAGAATATAATGAAAAGAAATTTCATCACATAATAGAATTTTCAACTCCCAACAATGCACTACCAACCTATTCAGGTCAACTTATTAAGATTAGTAATAAACTTTGTATAAGATTTTGCTTCTCTGAGGGAACAGATCGAGATTTTCAAATAGAAGAAAGTGTACAAATAGTTAACATTCATGAAAGATTATTCGCCGATGGTAATTGCACACACTTTCCGGATCAATTTATTCTTGTACCTGAATCGAGTAATAACGATCTTGGGATGGTAACATCAAACGGAAGCGGAGTTAATGGTGATTTAAACCCAAATCTTCATGATTTTGATACGGGAGTGCTAACGTCAAAACAACAAGAAACCATTCGGCAGCTGAAGTTGAATCATGGTTTATTTTTGGACGGAACTAGTGTAGAACCTAGTAAACAGGCTGTTATTTTTGAAGATGGAAGCCTAAATGCAACATTATATAAAGGACATCCTATAGTATACACTAGCATTAACGATCCCACATCTTCTACAAATTTTCTAGCGTTTTACGATCATTATAAAGCAAATTTTAAAAACCAAAAACCACCGATTGATTGCATTAATTATCCAGTTGCTGAATTGACTTATAAAGGTGATTTGTTAGAAGCCTTTTCAAATTACGTAGATGAATCCAAAGAACAATTGCATGATTTATATGGTCACCTTTTTGCAAAAAGAACTTTGCTTGGTGGCAAATTATTCATCACTTATTCTACGTTGTACGATAAAGAAGACATTGAACTTTTAAAATATCTCTTATTTTGGGCATATGATAATGCAAAATATCAAAAAAATAACGAGAATCCATTCGGAAAATTTTCAGACTTAAATTATTTACCAAGGGTAGAAACATCAGTCGGGGAAAAATTAAATACTCTCGACAAATTGGTCGGTTGGATGAATAAGCTATATAGGGAAGAAAAGGTTGAGATAATCTCTTATAACGATCTTATTCCGATCACGCAATTAAGGAACAATACAATGTCCGGAAAAGCATTTGATGAAATAATACCTAAGGTGATTAATTTTAAAAAAAAGTTAAGTTTGACGGATTGGGTCGGCGATTCGGACTACTTCAATCTAACGAGATTTGTAAAAGATTTTCACCTTCTTCACGGTCTTGTAACGAATAAACGTGAAATAAGGATAGGCAAAAGAATTGCAATTAATTTAATCAAAATACCCGAAGTGAGGTTAAACAACAAATCCTATTTTAAAATAATCAAGCCGTCAACGAAATTGGAAGAATTATTAATATCCAATAATATTTTTTCAATTAAAGAAATAAGCGCCTTCCCGTTTATTAAGAAGGGTGATTTTGATTATTTATGTTGTGGAGACTATCCCCATTTAATGATCAAATGTGAACAATATGAAATTCTTATAAATAAGGATCACATTAAACCTTTAGAAGAATTTACCACCGCAATAGACAAAGCACTTGATGATATGAAACCGTATAAAGCTTTACAAGATATCTTTAACGAATATGGTCATTTATTTCCACAAAGAATTGTCTTGGGGAGATCTCTTAAAAATATTTTGTCAATTACACCGTTTAATAACGACACGATTATTTTAATGCCGCCAATTTTCAAAACTTTACGACCAATTCTAGATAATTTAAATATTTCTTACCTGTTAACACAAAAAGGAAATTTTATTGACGTAAATGATTCATTATCGGATTGGATTCAGAATATAAACAATAACAATAAGTTGGAAATTATAGAATATAGTGACATAATTTCTTTATATGAAATTCTTGATTTTAAACAAAAGAAGAAGATCGATATGATTTTAGAGAATAATGATCAGAATAATTTTAAGATCATTATGACTGGAATTGCCACTTTACAGGATTTAGACAATCATAACCTTGAACATCATAAACGTGTAAATCTAGATCAACCATTGGGATGTAATAATTATGAGGTATTTGGATCGATTGTAACCAAAGATAATTTAATGACAAAAGATTTTTCTGTGATATTTAGCTTATATGATGTTAATGGATTTTCTGCCATGATAACAACCTTAAATAATACGACAAATCTTGATGTAACGGAATGTCATATCCTGTGGATGATTATTGGGAATCCTTCAAGCCTATCGATTTTCAGTCCCAAGAATCGAGAATTTCAAGTCAATTGTATTAAAGAATCCATTACATTACATCACGATAATTCTTGTCTTCGTATTCAATCTCCTTGTCAGTTATCTCAGGAATATGTTATCTTTGTTAACGCGAATTATAAATTAACGAATTATAAGCCTAAAAATATCATAAAATTAGTTGGTTGGTCATATAATTGTATTGAATTTCATATATCTGAATCCGTATATAATGAATCAAAGCTCAGTGATTCAAATCCAAGTATAATAATTTCTGATAGTGATTTCGATGAACAACCTCTTCTCAACGAAGATATTCCTATGAACAATGATAATATAACGATAGACTTATGTATTTGTATTTTAAATTCAGACTACAAAAGTTTAAAGATAGATCATGAAGAAAAGGAATATCCTTTAGATTCACTTGCGTATATCTTATCAGAGAAGAATTTTGATAAGAAACTATTATTGGAAACTAACGAAAATAATATTCAAAATATTATCCTACGACCTTTTATAGACGATATTCAAATGATCGTCTCAATAGGTAATAATAATATATCTTCATTTCAATTGGTTTGATATTTAATTAATTTGTTCCATCTCTTTTATTTCTTTAAGATATCGGAACGACTTATTCCGTAAGTAATTGTTTTCGTAAACCTAATTGATCATAGTAATTTATACATTAAGCATTTTACTCTTGATTTAGAGATTTGCTTTTGCAAGTAAAAACAGCAATTATGATATGATAAATGAAAATTCATTTGATACAAATACAGTATTGCTTTATGATGAAAATTATAAGGAAGTTAAGGAATGGGGATTAAATGCCATGGCCGAAAGACCAACAAAAAAAGTGAAAAAGCACAACATGTGTAGTATTGTTGAATACTTTAAATTACATTTGTTCGAAATATCCGAAGAAGATAAACCACCATTACCAAAAGGTTTTGATCATAAAATGGCAATTGTAGATTATTTACGGCAGCTAAGTACGTATAACATACTCTTTTAATGATTATAATGTGTATAATTGTTTTACTGATATTATTTTTAAATCGACATATTTATTATATTTTCGTAGGAAATGTAAGTAATTTTGAGTACGTCAAATTTTAAAAACTTATTTCAAGCTGATTATTTTATTTTAATTTAGTTAATTCAGGACAAATTATCCAAATTTTGTCCTAAAATAGATTTTTTTAGGAATGTTTTAATTATGTTATCGATTCCATTGGATCCTTCATATAAAATAAAAAAAATCATGAAGGATTGCATGTATAAGGCTGGATTAATTAAAGATTTAAATTCAAAAAAATTACAATTTATTACAGAAAGTAAGTTAATTTGATTATTTAACATGTTAATGATATTCCATTTAACGATGTTCAACAATATATTCCCTTATTAATAGTTGAGGCAGCAGCCATATACTGCAAGAAAATATTAGAGAAAAAACTCTTGTTGGAAGAACTCAAAAGTTAGTATTTTACGTAAGATTTATAAAATTTGTATTATTTTCCTAAACTTGTTACTATTACAGATAACTTTTTGGTTGTTAATTGTGGAGGCGGTATAGTTGAATTAACCCTTAGACAATTATCAAATAATCAATTGGCAGAAAAGTCATCAACTTCAAGTAAACATTGTGGATCGATTTATGTGAATAAAGAATTTCTTGCATTTATCGCAAAAAAAGTTGGTCTAGATGCCTTGGAGAACCTTCAAAGCAACCATTATGAACAATTGCAATACATGATTCAACAATTTTGCAAAAATTGTAAAATAAAATTTACTGGAAATAAGGATGATTTTGAACCTTATAAGATGGATCTTGAAGAAACTTGTCCCGCCATCAAAGATTATATTACTGAACCATATAAAGAAGTATTTATGAAAAACGATTGGCTTATAATCCTTACATATGATGATGTTAAAACATTGTTTGAACCGATTATAGATCAAATAATCAAATTAATTCGTGAACAATTATATTCCATAAACATATGTTTTGCTATGGTTTTAGTAGGTGGTTTTAGTCAGTCAGAATATTTGCAAACGTGTATCAAAAAGGAATTTGATCAAACAATTAAGCATATTCTCGTACCCAAACAATTATTTGCAGCGATAGAAGGGGCGCTTGAATATGGATCAAACACGAAAATAATATATTCACGTGTGATTACCATGACTTATGGAATTAGAACGACTTCTTGCGAAGAAGAGCAGAGAAAAAGATTTTTGAGATTAGTACAAAAGGGTACAGATGTGCAAGTAAATCAAGAATTTGAATATGAAATTCGTCCATGTTATAAAAATCAAACAAAATTTTCAGTTGAATTGCATGCTACGACGGCACCAAATGCTATATATTGTGATGAACCTGGTATGAAGCAAATTGGAACGATTGACATAGTAGTCCCGAAATCATGGTCTAATCGATTCATAAATCTTGTATTGTTTTTTGGACAAATCGAAATACACCCTTATGTAAGAAACCGACAAGGGGAAATTTTGCCGGCTAATTTAAATTTATTAGATTTATGAAAGATATTTTTAATTTAATTTCCCGGGTCAATTTTAATATGACCTAAATACCATTTGATCTAGCCAAAATTTATGAATTAAACGAATAAAATTATTTTATGAAGTGGTCTTTTAGACCAAGTATGACAAACATTGTTATTTAATGTTCTAAAATTTTCTGTAAAAATATTTTGAAGCAGAGTGATCCTTCGACTTTTGTAACAGAAACGCGCTTTCTTTTAAATTTATGAGGTCGTTATGAATAAAATTTATTTACTTTTACTCAAATCCTTTGAGGCAATCAATTTTAACTTTACAAGAAAATTTAGGAAACGAAATAAATATTTTTATTACTTTTTAATTTTACATTTAACAATTAACATCAAAATGATTTCTAAATAATTTTTCTAACCTATTTTTAGAAATATTATTACCATTATTGGCGGATTTTTCATACCATTCCATTGCTTTTTCTAAATCTTTTGTCGTACCAATACCAGATTCAAAACAAACAGCGACATTATGTTGAGCGATGTTATCTTCCATCTTAGCGGCCTTTAAATATAGCTCAAGTGCCATCTTTTCATTAACCGAAGTTCCGATACCTTCTAGATAACAATAACCTAACATTCTTATGGCAATAATGTAATCACTCTGAGCACTTAAATTGTAATAGCTAAAAGCCTTATGATAATCTTTTTTAACATGATAAAAGTACCCAAGTTTATATCTTGCGATAGCATGACCATCATTCGCCGCTTGTTGATACCAATAACAAGCCATTTCTTTATTCTTTTCAATTCCAATGCCTTTCTCATAGCACATTCCTAACGCAAACTTACCCGCTGAACTTTGACCTTGTTTAGCACTTTTATCATAATAACCAAATCCTTTATTTTCATCTTTTTTAACCCCAAAACCTTTTTCATAAAAAATTCCTAAATAATATTGAGCGATCGCATGATTTTGCGTTGATGCTTGATGAAAATAATTAGATGCCTTATTGATGTCTAACGTCGTTCCAATCCCCGAAAAATTTAAATATCCTGCGAAAAATATAAAATTTGAATTTGAAAATTCCCTATTTTTAATTAGCCATCCATAAATTTCTTCGATGGTGACGTCATGATCTGTCAAGTAAGCTTCGAGGATAGAACGTCGTTGATCACGAGATTTCCCTTCATTCGTCGTATTAATAAACGATTCCACCAATTCTTCTACCATCTTATTATTTATTTTAGAATTACTTATTAAGGTTTCATTCAAACCATTGCTTGGGCTTGCCTTTGAGCTCAAATTTGTCGTATCTGGCAAATTTCCTTCCATTAAGTAATAATCATTGAAAACGTTGATATCGAATTGATCCAAATTATGAATGAGGTTATATATTTTTGATAGTGAAATCTCATTTGAATCTAAACTAGGTTGTTGTGATGGCTCAACAGGAGAAGGATTAATCGTCACTCCTTCTTTTGAATCAACAATTGTTGAATTTGGTGATGAAATCATTGATTTTAAAGTTTCAACGACTTGTTGAATTGTAGGCCTTTCGTCCATGTCTTTATGCCAACATTCTAAATTAAATTAAATTAAATTAAAATCATTTTAATATGTTTTAAAATTTATCGTCACTTACTTTTATAAAGGTTGGAATAATTTTCAGGTGTACCAACTACAATACTTTCTCTTTTTCCAAGCAAAAGTCTAATCGCCAATACGATACTAATATCTTCCAAACCATCAAAAGGTTTTTTTCCACTAGATAATTCCCACAATAATACACCAACGCTATAAACGTCACTTTTCGCATTTAATGCACCAACAAATCTTTTTGGATCAATGTATGGAAGTATACCGACTACCTTTGATTTACTTCTATTGGTATTACTATTTCCGATACGCTTGCTTAATCCAAAATCTGCTAATTTAATTGAACCATGATGTATAAGGATGTTACTTGAATGTAAATCTCTGTGAACTATTCCTTTATCGTGTAAACATTTTACTGCACTTGATAATTGGAACGCTAACCTGTATTTATCATTCCAATCAAGAGTATGAAAATTCTCTTTCAAATAATTATGAAGTGTACCCCCTTCTGCATATTCTAAAACCAATAAATATTTTTCATCTACAAGAATCAAAATTTTAAAATAATTATTAATTCAATTAATTATAAATATATGAGCATGAGATAACTTTGAATATCTACCTGAATCTTTAGTGATCCCTAAAAGCCGTATTATATTTTCATGAAAATCTACTCTTCGATGTAATTTAAACTATAAACTCATTAGTACGTCATTCATTAAGAAAAAGAAAAAGAAAAAACCTCCGATTTATAAGGTACAAACACACCTCTCTAACAATCTCTTTAACAGTATCTAAATGAAATGATTTTAATGCAACGTATGTATCATTTTCCCACTTCGCTCTATAAACCTTACTGAATCCTCCGCTACCTATCTCTATTTTATTATTAAATCCAATATATTTAAAATAATTAATATCTTCTTTATTTATACTTTGTTCTATCCATTCTATCGATTCTGAATTAGTGGACATATTTTGGAAAAAAATCAAAAATTTGATATTCAAATTTATTAAATGTTGATGATCTGCATAATCATTTAGTCATATGACAATTGTTAACTTGCCTAATTTTGGTAAATCCTTAAGCTAGGCGGATCATCAATATCGCCAACTACAAATACGCAAGGATCGATAAAAATGCTTTTCTGAGAACGAATTTCGAATCACGATGGCGTTTTATAGTTGTTATGCTTCACTCAATGGTCGTTTAATGCAGGAAACTGATTAAACAATGCGTTAAAATTCTGTCATGTTTTGAACTGAATGTACACAACACACGACAAAAGGAGTAATCCTGCTATTTGTTTTAAGATAAATTCAGGACGTTTTCATAGGAATGGACTCACTGTTAGATCCTATCGTTCTGAAAACTTAATTTATATTTTTTTTTAGTTTAATTACACAATTAACAGTTAAATTTCAGACTTTGTGATGACACGAAAAATCAAAAGGAGTGTAACACAGCGACTTTCGCGTTAGCAACTTTCACGTGAATGATGATTCGATTACAAATTAATACCAATTACTTACTCCAAGTAATCGGCATATTATGATTTAATGATAAATTAATGGAATCCTTGACTTAAAATCTTTGATGACAACAAATTAAGTTGATCTGTTATGATTATTTCTGTAAACGTATTTTGGTTATAAAGAATTATACTATTCTTATTAATTATGTTTCTTGTAATAATAATTAATACTATTTATCAATTTGAGATGAAGCTTGCGTTTTTTCGATTTACGTACGTGATTGGTTAGTTTTAATTTTTTTGTCTCGACTCGATAATTTTTTTTCTTTTTTCTTTTTTGAAATCAAAATGCTATGTATTCTATAGTTCTAAAAAGATTGGGAAGGAAATATAACAAGAATAAAAAGATTTCTCGACTTTTCCTATCGTTAATCCTCAATAAAAAGCAACGATATAATTGATCATTAAAATAATGAATTCTGACTTGCAAAAATTATAAATCACGAACTAAAAAAAAAAAATGTGTTTGTTGAATTTAGTTGGATGAAATAAAATATTTTCACTCAATATTTCTATATACGTACAAACATAAATTCGCAGAAGATTACTTACATACATCATCATCAGCAGCAGCAGCAACGGCAACGGCAACCGCAGCAACAAAATAAAGAGGTGCAACAACCATCATTATCAACAGCAGCAGCAGAAACAGCAGCAAAATAAAAAACAATTAAAAACTTCAAATAGAAAAAAATTTCGTTATATGAAAAGAAATTCTTTGAAGAATATCAGTATCGTATAACGCTGTCTAATAGTTCAGGGTACTAATTAAAAAAGATCTTGTGTTTAATTTAATAGTACCAGAGGATACTATGGATACTATTCAAAGAGGAGGATACTATATAAGAGACCGAAAATTGAGATTGGCGTAATATTATAATAAAATGCGAAACGCGAAAATAATATTTTACTCTTTTTTTACAAATTATCTGTAAATTTATCTCTGTTATTACGTTCTATATAACTTTTTTTTACTATCTTTTGATATAAAGAATGGCACCCCATGCAAATAAGAATACAACATGCTAGAGTGGTTTACTCAAAAATTCTAACATCTACTGTATGTTTGATTTCAAGTGAATATACAGTCGACCCTCTCTACAGTCACACCCCTCGGGCGAAAAAAATGATGTTATTGTTATTATAAAATTACTAAATGATAAAGAGAGGTTTTTTTTTAATAATTTTATTAGTAACTTGGGCCAATGTAAGTGTGCTTATAAAGGGGGATGTGGCTATATGGGGTGACTTTAGAGAGGGTCGACTGATCTTGCTTCATAATATGAAAAAGGCAGAAACCCACATTTAAAACAATAAAATTTTTATAGATCACCAACCAAATTGATCTATAGGAGCGGCGTATCATTAATTTCCTTTTCGATATTTAATATACTGTATCTATTTAAATTTCCATGTATATTTTCATTGGGGAAAAAAATTTCCGAGTCCTACTTAACTTTTTTATCAAATTTGTTTTTCATTAAAATTATTCACAGCATGACGTAAGAAGGATTTATTGATAACCTTTATTTATACTTCAATTAACGACATCTTATTATAATCCCATTTTTAAGAGAAACGTGTCATTTTGAATCGTCTTAGTAATTGCTAATCTTATTTTTTTGTCAAACTGTTTCATTGAGAAAAGCATGATGGTCCTAGTCCTTATATGCGGTTATGGAATCCATATGAGAATTACAATAAAAATGGCGAGGCTATTATCACCATGATGATAATTCTTTCTTGGCATCGCTCGTATGTCTGATTTTTTGAAATGCTCATATACATGTATGTTGAAGTAAACAGTGTTGTAAGATCTTACATTATTTGTTATTTTTTCATTCTACTTTCTTTATTTTTGTTTTCAGTTATCCTGAACATGTTGCAAAAGCCTCATATCAAAAAAGAACTTAGTTTTCTTACTGGGATTGGGTAAGTCCATCCACTATTTGTCAAGGAGTTCCATCAATCTTATTTGAAGAGCATACGACTTCTACGGCAAACTGGTAACGAATCAAAATTCGGAATCCTCTTCGTACTTACACTGCCAGTAAATGGAATTTGTATGTGATACTTATAGCCTATCACAGAGACCTTGCAACCATAACGCTTTATACAACACCCGGATATGCAACTATCAGACATCCAAACGAAAATTACCTTCTAGTATAAATTCTAATAATAACCTTGAAATTGTAGCAACTAGCATTTGTAGGCTCATTCTGATCAAAGATTGTTTCATTTCAAATAATAGGGCTGATTAAATGCATTATTCTTCAATCGAAAGATCTGATTTATTATTTCATAATTTTGCTTAAAACAGTGATGGCCAGTGATCCAAATGACATTAAATGACAAATGATTCAAATGACTGGTGCTGTCATTTCAACATTAAATAACAAATGACCTTGGTCATTTAATATTATTTTATGTGATCTCAATAATTCTGGCCAAAATAATTTATGTAATTTAATGTTTCGATGTTCAATAAATATTTCATGTGATATAAATTTGTAATTCTGGCCAGCATATAAAATTTGGCCTGTATCACATTTAAATGACCCAATGACCATATGACCTGGTCATTGTGCCATCACTGGCTTAAAACCGGTCAGAAGCCTTTGACCAACCGATATCGGTCACGTTTATGACCGTTATGACCGTGACCATTAGCATCCCTATTCAGAACATATTTTGAGTACTTTTGCGAAAGAAAATCTTTTTCCATTTTTAATCGAAAGTTGTTCAGCGGTCAAGTACTTCATCAAGATTAATTAATCCTTTTGAAGTTATGAAGTACTTTGTAACGGATTTCGCTTATCCATTCAGTAACTTCGGAAAGTTGGTCAATGTCAATCTCCTAATTAACGGTCCGAAACTACTTGTAGCTAAGTTTTCATCAAGATTGGATCAATACTTGCAGAATTATGTACTATATGTAACAAATTGAATTAAAAATAAAAAATTTTTTAATATATTAAATTTTGGCCAATAAATAATTTTGCGTTAAGAATTACGTTGCATTCAATAAATGCAAATTCCAAATAATTCATTCATTTGATTTACTTAATTAAGTAGGTGCAATATTCTAATAGAGTATTTGTTTTACTTATACTTTCCGTTTACCATCCCTATTCTGAAATCTCTATAAGGAATATGCAGTATATATATATATTTATTTATTTATTAAATTCAGAAATATATCCATAGAAGTATTATTTCTATCATGTAACAATATACCTGATTTCCTTAAATTTATAACAGAAGAATTAGAAAGATTAATTTGTATTGACCAATCAAAACAGAGAAAATTTCAAAATTATGTTACACGGTTAACGTTAACGGTTAATGGTTGTTGATTCATGGGATGATAATGAAAACATTTTAAAAGTTATTGATATAGCGAATTTAAACCTTCTTCGCCGTGCAGCTTCATTTCAACAGATTTTTATTATGTGCTGATAACGCATTAAAGTTTTCTGAATATTATTAATTCATATACTTTTATTAAAAAAAAAAGTAAACGATCATGTTGATCATTATTATCAATCACCTCGGAAACTCAATCGCAACAAACTCCACATATATTAGGTACACAACATTCCATGATTTGTGAACTCGTGAGTTCATTTGATCGCATCATTATATTTTGATTTAATGTATGACGCAGCCGAAGGATGCATTGATTATGAAGGCATACATACGATATGAAAAAAAAATTATAACTTTTCTACAATTCCAAATTGTAGTAATTGTTTTGTTCGTTGGAATAAATATTTTTTGATGGTTTTGTTCGTTGATTACCTTTTTCAAGTCACTGGTGAAGAATATTATTAATATATATAACACAAATGTATAAAGAAATTTCGTAAATTAAAGTAACCGTCAATTTTGAACTTTTTAAACAAAAGGAAGTTTGTGAATTTTTCGGTTATTTACTTGCAAGATTTCTGATTGTTCTATAAAGGAATACGACATGACATGAACCAGAGGTGAGTGTACAAAGATGCCGTTCATGTGGTCATGAATATTGTTTTATCCAATCGGAAAATTTACAACTTGATCTAATATATATAAATTTTTTTTATTCGTTTTTTATTAAAATAATTTATTTCTGATTCATGTTTGAAAAAAAAAAAAAGAAATCATGTATGATCATGAGTGAAGTGGATTACAATAACATCTTTCTCTTTAGAAGAAAATCTAAAAAATTCGAAGCAAAATTTTTCGCCAGATAAAAATAGTCATATGCACAAAATTTAATCAGCAAGTCAGGGCATTTTATTTTCACTAATACATTTGCTTCTGCTATCAGCTGATCCGTCACTTTTTTTTTTGATGTATGCATATGGGCGTTTGTTAATCTATCAACATAAAATATTATTCTAAAATTTTTAATTGGATTATATTGCAAAAAAAGGATTAAGCATGCAAGTATCAGGTGAGTCGGTTTGATTTTTTTTATAGTTTTCGAGTTTGGTCATTTTAGGAGTATGGATTTAGATATTTTTTTAAAAGTTTTTTTTATTATTTATTTTTTAGGGAGGTAGCGGTATTTATGCTTTAAGCCTTCCTAGTTTTAAATTATTTATTTTCTTACATTTTGCTCTGATGTCAATAAAAATTTTCACGTTCACAAGTTTCAAACTAAAATTAACTTTTATTTGTTTCAATAAATGATTGTACTTTTTCCAAAAATCATGAAAAAATAAATCGGTCAATTATCATTTAAGCTATTTACGCTTCAATTTTAAAAATAGTGACAAAAACTGTAAAACAATTTCACCGACATAATGATGTAATCTCAAACGAGTACGGCAATAGAATGTTATTGGTTTTCTTTTTAGAAGTATCATTTAAACAATTAATCTTCCAATTATATTGTTACCATCGAAAATTCTATTATATCAATGAAATTTCAAAAAAAAAAAAAAAAAAGATAACAATCATTTCGAATAATGCTAATTCATAAAAGGTTTTAAATCGGAAAATGTATTCAGTATTTAACAAGTCGAAATGAGTGTTCTTTTGAATTTTTATCTTCCACCTTTCATTTTAATAAAAGATCATAATAAGGATTCGCGATATCCATTACCGAATGTAAAAGAAAGTAAATAAAAATACTGTAAATTATGTTGAAATAACGTATTTCTTCCGCGCCAGTACACTCACCTAGCAAAAATGACCGACCAACAATAATTTTGCGATTAAATACCTCATTTTTAAATAAGTATATTTCG